ATCTATCTATCTATCTATCTATCTATCTATCTATCTATCTATCTATCATCCCTTAACAAACAAATCCAAATTGCCAGAGGATTTATAAAGGGATTTGGCTGGCATGCCCCTGTGTGCCATTTTGCCTCCACAGAGCAACATCCTGAGCTTCTGTTTCGGCATACAGCGCGCGTATGTGTGTGAGAGTGCATGAGTGTGTCTCCCGCTGAGCCTGTGTGGAGTGTGTGATCACACATCTTCTCTCTGACTGCACCCTGCAGCCACGCACAGCCCAAATCGCTGTGGCGAGGCCCCTCGACGAGCGCCGTTCGTGCGTGTGTGTGTGTGTCCGTGCTCGCGTGTTGTCTATGCGTGTCCCCACATCTTCGGCTAGTTACCATGGAAATAGGCCAAGCAGCAGGCATGCGGGGGGAAAAGCCGAACCATGTGATCCGACAGAAAGAAACACTGTGCTGCACTGGTTGAGAGAGCAAACACACACACACACACACACGCACTCGCACTCTCGCACACACTCTTGTACACTGGGCTGGCAAGTGATGATGATGTGTATTGATGGTGGAGACTTCCTGGAAGCCAGAGTGAGTCAAGGCACAAGTCAATCAAATTCCCTGACCCTGCACTAGAAGGCATACGGAGATCAGGTTTTTGTGGACGCAGCCCAGACAGCGACCACACACACAGGAGATTTTCCCTGTCTGACGTTGAGGTGAGGCCACTAGATGCACAATGTGTGTGTGTGTCTGCTATGTGTGTGTAGTCTGCACGACCTCATCTTTTAACCTGTGGAAATCAGCCCGGGCTGACTTTGCGCTGGCTAAAGGTTAGATTTCTCTCTGTGACACTGTAAGGTTAGGAGGCCACGGCGCAGAATCCTGAGAGGACTTACCAAAGACTTTTAGCCCGGTTTACGCATGACATACCCAACGTTAATGGCTCTGTTCTGTTAAAGCACCCGCGCTCAATCACTTCGGCATCCGTCGATTCTCCGTTAACGTTCCTCACTCGTCATGCCGAGGCAAATCATGTAATAATCTTTAAAGAGTCACAGCTCAACAAGAGAAATCATTTTAGTACGACCGACACACAACGGTTATGTAAAATAAGGACCTCCAACATATCACCTTCCTACATGTTACACACATGAAGTGCACGACAGGGAAGCAAGTTTTTTTTTTTTTTTTAACCGGAGCAAAACTGTGGTGTTTACCTCTCCAGAGGACACTCTCTGCACAGTCACTGCTGTTTGTCAGGGGAGAAGCTGCAGCACAGCACAAAACTCTGGAAGTCCTACTCGGGTTACACTTTTCTCATGATAATACATTGTTTTTCTGCAAAGACTCATATTGAGCTGTAAAAGAAAAAAACATTACCAGAATGCAGAGCTTGTGAAATGAATTTATCTGACCTGAAAAGTAAACTTTTGTTTTTTTGATAAACTTTTTTCTACTAAAAGACCTCAGTGAAAAAACAGCTGCATGGAACTTTCTCTTCCAAAGTCTTTCCCTAATCCTACATTTTGTCTGCCTGTTTAGATATTACATTAAAGAGCCCTCGTCACTATTGTAAATTCTTAGCAAAAGCATTGAGAAAGCATAATTGTTTTTTTTATTCTGAATGCACTAACGTGCAGGATTTAGGAGTAATGGGGACTTGAACTCTAAACGGATATGTTTGAGTTGGATATGCTCTTTTTTCAATTTATAATGGATGTGTGCATCCATGTGACAGCAGATGATTACTTAAGGATCAATAGAAGCAGACAAGGGCACAACTGGGAGTACTGAGGACAGACAGCTGTTTTTATGCTTCTGCTATATGACTATTGATGGCACGATAACTATTTAATTCCTTGTAATTACTAATATTGCAGAGCCTGTGATGCATGTGATGTTTTTATATTACCAAACAATAGATCTCTGCTATCTACCCTCCCTTTCCTCGCGTCTATTTTCCATATCTTTTGCTGAAAATTTCAATCCTGTCTTTTGGTTATGAAACCATCTGAAGTGCTTTTCCTCTGCTTTTTCTCTTCGTCTTTTTTTCCCCTTCATTTCTTTTAGCCCGTCCTGAGCTCGTAAAAGTGACATGCGTGATGTTTGCAGGGGTTTATCCGAGGACAGATTCTGGAGGATGGCTCAGATGCCTGTTTGATCCCTGGTGCATTGTCATTCCACTTCTTTGATCCACATCACAATGATTCATGTTAACGTTCTGCACAAAAAAAACTTTCCACCACATTCATCTGTCATCCTGTCGCTCCATCAACATCGACATACAAAAGTGGCAGCATGTGTGGCACATGGATCAGACCTCCACTCTATGAGACTCAACTGTGTCTGCACTAGGGTAGAACAACTCCTCCCATTCACATTTCATTCCATTTAGGCTATGACAAGTCATGATTCCAGTTTTACTAGTTAGGTTTACCAACACAAGCACAATGCTTACAATACTATACTTAATAATAAAGTATCTTTCCAAAAGGTTTCCACTTCTCCTCTATTCATGGAAACACTACAGGAAGCCTCCATAGATGTGCAACTTCCTGAGTTTTGATGAAAGACTAAAAAAGTTATTTAAGACTAATACTGAGGACAGAGCTTGGAAACACTTTTTAACTTTTTAAAGAAGCCGGAAGGCCGGCCTGACCGGCTGACCAAAGCTGCCTAACCTCCACATCAGCTTCCACCGCAGATAACATAGGTATTGTGTTGGAATGGGATTATCCTCTTCAGCTAAACTTGCTGAAAAGTGGAGAGACTGTTCTTAGATCGTCCGAGGTCTGGGCATAGAAGTGTGCCTTTTAAAGTTACCAAGGTGCAAAACACTACACAAAAATAAACAGACACGTCCAGTAAAACTCTTCACATATTTGTTTGGTTTCATCATCCCTGAATGCTCCAAGTGTCCACACTGATTCAGAATCAGTATTTTGCCCACTTCTCATCAGCCATATTGTGTTTTCTGTTGTGAAAAAAACATTTTTTTAAAGCGACCTCAGTGGGAGTTGTAGATAAAATGATATGATTGGACACCTTTTTGGGCATTTAGTTGTCATTTCTTTCTCTCTTCCTGCTGTTGGCTTGGTGACGGTGACACCAGTGTCAAGCGAGCAGAACAAAGAGCTGATACTGTCCCTGAGGACAATAGCCTGTCTTTCACTCCGTCTCCCCCCTCTTTCGAGCAAACATAAAGGCGAGAAGTATATTTATATGTCTCTGTAATAGAAGGAAGTCTTGATCGTTCACAAACCGTGGGCTCCTTCTCTTTTACTGTTGGCTGCACTTCCTCCTCTCCCTCCCATTCACTTCATTCCTTCCCCTCTGTCTCCAACTCTTCCACTGACCTCTATTTTCCATTCTTATTCACTCTCTCCACCTTTTCCCCCATTCATCTCTGTCTCTTTTTCTTTCAGATTTTGTAAAACTCCACACGCGTGTGCTCATACGCTCACACACTCAGTGGTTTCCCCGTAACTGGGTTATGTGTAACTTCAAATAGCCCCGGACGACAATAGGGAGAGCCCAGAGTTCATCCTCCTCTCTGAGCCTCTTTTTTCTCCCCTGGTTTTCCACTTACAATCTACAGAGAGGTTATATATATATATATATATGTATGAACGTACAGATAGTGCACGTGCAGCTGCATGGATGAGCATATCTCTTTTTTTTTCTTTTTGGGCAAGCGTCAAGGTCATTTCCCTGCTGGATTTCCATAACACTAAAGTATACCGGACATACACGAGCACACACATAATGGACGGGCACGCGCACGCACAAACAGACACACGTGCACGCCGCAGCCCTAAATGCGAGCCATTTCAGCCCACACGTGCACACCTAATCCTATCAGAAGAAAAATATAAAGAGGCGTGAAAATTTGCTTAATATTTAGTCCATTACATAACCATCCTTATTTACAATGCATGCTGGGAATCATGTGAGGTTTTCACAGTTCAGGTCAGCAGAGAGGGTGAGAAGAGGGGGGAAGAAGAGAAGAGGAGAACAAAGGAGAGGAAAGAGGGAAAGACAGGGGAATTATGACAAATAAAAAGGACAGAAGGGGAAAGGAAAGAGGGAATGAGAGAGCAAGGAAAGGAAAAAGAATCAAGATAATGGCAGGAGATGCTGTAAGAAATAATCCACAGTACAGGAGAGTTTCAGAGTAAAAAAAATTAATAGGGAGGATGACACTGAATGAAAAAAGATGGAATATAAGGAAAGGAACTCAAGCATCCAGCACACCGGTGGATGGTAAAGGTCAACGGAAACACCTCCCATAAAGTTCTCTTTATTTTCTTCCTTTTCATCCGGTGTAATCCCCTCTTCCCTATACATCAACCCTCCCATAATCCCATATATGAGGGCCTGACTCCAGACACACAGGCAGATACATTTTAACTAAAAAATGTCAACGAATGCCCAGGAGACACAAATCGGGATCAGTCACACATGACCAGCACTGTCTAGAGAGAAAAGCCGAGAGGATTAAAACCAATTAGTGAATTCAGAACACTTTAATAACCCTGAATACGTAGCTGCTGCTCTTCTAATGACAAATAGCTGGTCATATTTCATATTTTAGATGTCATTTCCTGCCATATGAGGTGAAAAGACAGAAGAAAAGAACCAAAAGTTAAATGTTGAGCGTCCTCAGCCTTACGTCTGATGCCACCTGTCTGTTTCATTTGTGTGTTTGAATTCAACTCCAGCTATTAAGACAAACTTGTCAAAGTAATCCTTCCTCTTTAGTCCACTTCTACTGTATGAAAATACAAAAACTTGAACCTGTCCTAGCTGTGTATCATCAAAGCCACCATGCTTATAAATTATGGAAAGTTTGTGTGATGGAGAGATAATAAGGACAGGGATGAGTGGCCATAAACAGCCATAAAATAAGAACACAGACAAATGTTCAATATTAATATTCCAACTCATTTTTGAAGCCATATCGTGTTTCATCTCTACAGACCAAAACTGATGAGAGGTCCAACTTAAATATCAAGCAGAAATCTGAGCTCGGTTTGGAAGACCGAAGTGTGCTGATGTGGCACAGCATATTCCTCATGTTGTGGGGACATCTCTCGGTTTTAACCAGCCACGCCGTTTGGCCCATTTGGAAATAAGCTCCTTGCAGATATACATTTCAACGTTCAGACTTTGGGTAAAGGGTGTCAGCAAAAAAAAAGACTGTCAAATAAATGTGCTTCTGCGTAATGATGGCGACCATAAGCCAATGAGGGGATGGTGAGTATGCCCCCCCCCCCCCCCCCCCCCCCCCCTTTTTACTCCCGTGTGCCCCCGCGAGGCAGAGGGGCTGTGTCACCATCTCTATAATGTGACGGTGCTGTGGGCTCGGTAGTGATGCGGGCCAAAAGTCATCAATCACGCGGATCGAAAGCAGCGACATTAAATCACTCCGGGGCCGCCGGGAGCGCGGACAGCGGCGCGTGAATCCGCCTGGGCGCGAGGCTGCGGTCTTTCCATCATCCATCAACAAGTCCGCACGTTTCCAAAATGCTACAAAACACCCAAAAGACCCCAAAAACAAAACAAAAAAACGCACGCCACGCGCAATTTAGGGTCTGACAACGCGATCGAAAACACCTGTAACTGTGAAAGGTGAGAGCCGGACACTAATCCACCACGGGGGCATATGGAGGGGGGGGGGGGGGGGGGGGGGG